ATTGGTGCAGCTGCTATGGAAAACAGTAGGGAGATTTCTCAAAAAAATAAAGAACAGAACTACCATATGATTCAGCAGTTCCATTCCTGGGTATTTATCCAAAGAAAATGAAAACACTAATTAGAAAAGATATATACACCTCTACGTTCATTGTAGCATTATTTACTATAGAAAAGATATGGAAGCAACCTGAGTGCCCATCAATAGATAAATGGATAAAGAAGTTGTGGTGTGTATGATATATACACACACACACACATGCACACACACACACACACATATACATACACACAAAATGGAATATTACTCAGCCATAAAAAAGAATAAAATCTTGCCATCTGTGACAACATGGATGGACCCAAAGGATGTTATGCTATGTGAAATAAGTCAGACAGAGAAAGACAAATACTGTATGATATCACTTATATGTGGAATCTAAGAAACAAATGAACAAACATAACAAAACGGAAACAGTTACAGATACAGAGAACAAACAGGTGTTCGCCAGAGGGAAGGAGGCGTGGGGGAAGGAAAGAACTAAGTGAGGGAGATTATGAGGTACAAACTTCCAGGTGAAAAATAAATGAGTCACAGGCATGAAATGCACAGTGTTGGGAATGCAGTTAATAACTATGTATTATCTTTATATGGTGGCATAAGTAACTAGACTTATTGTGGTGATCATTTTGAAATGTATATAAATATCAAATCACTATGTTGTATAACAGAAACTAACAGTATTATAGGTCAATTATAGTTCAAAAACAAACAGATTCATAAAAAGAGACCAAATTTGTGGTTGGTTACCAGAGCTGGGGTGGGGGGGAATTGTGAGGGGAGGGGGAGTGGGAGGAAGGTGGTCAAAAGGTACAAACTTCTTGTTGTAAGATAAATAAGTACTAGGGATGTGATGTATAACATGATAAACATAATTGACACTGCTGTACGTTATATATGAAAGTTGAGAGTAAATTCTAAGAGTTCTCATCACAAGGACAAATATATGTATTTTTTCTACTTTAATTTTGTATCTATATGAGATGATGGATGTTCAGTAAATGTACTATGATAATCATTTTATGATGTATGTAAGTCAAATCATTATGCTGTACACCTTAAACTTATACAGTGCTGTATATCAATTATATCTCAATAAAACTGAAAGAAAACAAATTAAAAAAAGATTACTTTATGCTCACCAGCATAAAGATGTATGCTCAAGACTATTCACTGCTTTTTTATTTGTAATAGCAAAACTCTAGAAACATCTAAATGTCTAACACTAAGGAGGTAGATGTATTGAGTAAACAGAGAAAACTGTAGAATATATACCTAATGACTCCATTTAGTCACACACACGCGTGTGCATGTGCACACGCTAACCTAAAAGCTAATTCATATTAAAAGCTATTACAATTCTGTAAATGCATATAAAGGGGACTGTAAGAATGTAGCCCAGACTATTGACAGCGAAGAACTATGGGGACAGGGAATGTGTGTTATGTGTGTGTATCTGTGTGTGATGGGGGCACATACAGAGATGGGGTTGAAGGGGAGTTTTTGTAAGAGTTCTATGTGTATTTTACTATTAAATCTTATATAAGAACACATTCACATATTACTCATGAAATTTTAAAGACAAAAGATGGGAAAGAAACATACACATAGGAAAACACATCACAAAGCTTTGGAAGGGGTGTGACTGGCCCTTTCCTTGGCTGGCCCTTTCCCCATGCCCTCCACTGGGCCTTCCAAGACTATCTTAACACGCTCAATCATAAAGTACTTGGAAGGGGTCTCCCCTATGTGTGTTTTACTCAGTGCCCCAAATCATGTACACAGTTGGCTCTACACCAACTTGATGGGCAAGGATATGATTATTCCAAATGACCTATCAATTGTGTGGTTCCCTTTTTTTCACCTGAGGGAACAACTCCTTCCACTGACAACTGGCCTGATCTTGAAGGGACAACAAGCTGTGTTCTAGGTGGAACAATCTGGGTAGAAACTACTCTCCCAGGTACGGCTCTATCCTGAGGCTGTGGCAGAGCCTGATGCTAGTCACAGGTATCTCAAGAATGGTAATGGCCTCACGAATGGCCAGTGTGGCTGGTTGACAGCTATCATTTCACCCAAAACCAGAGGAGCAGCCTGAGAGCCGAGGCAATGTAAGGTGAGGTGCTGTTCCACCTCTCCCCGTGCCCCAAACGCTCTAGGCCTAGGGTATCAGCTGCCTCACAGAAAGAGTATGCTCTGGAGAGCTGACCACTAATGCTCCAATTACCAGGCAACACTTAGGACTTCTTACTCACTTATAAGACCTGGACCACACACTGTCACTAGGACCCAGCTACAGTCCCAGCAACTGCAAAGCTGGATTCCATTTTTCAGCATTCCTCTCTTGGGTGGAATAATGCCCAAATCTGTGGAAAACTACAGCAAAGCTACATGTTTAACTAGAATAGAGAGACAAGGGGCACTCTCCCATTATTGATATCTGGGACTGCTTTGGTCTCTGATAGACACATTCTAGCATGTCAGATTGGATTCAAGTGTTATAGAACTTATCTCTAAAGTCACACATTGCAATTCAAAGAGTCTAAAAAGTTGAATTACGTACAAACCATTATGGAAAAATCCCCCACATTCCAGCCAAAAGATGAGTCATGATTTTCATGCATATTACATGACTTTTCATTAGTGAAATTAAAAATAGCTACTGTAGACCATTTTATTAGACCATTTTACACTATAAAGCCTGAAATGCTGCTTTTCTGCTTTGGGGTTAAAATTAAGTGCTCTTTAAATAGTAAGTAAAAAAGTTACTAAAACAGACAATCATCAATGATGAATGATTATGAGCCCTGATAGGGACTTGACTTCACATCCTTTCAGCTTTATCTACTAAGCACCTACTGTGTCCTTTAGAGGTTATAAAGATGGAAGGCAGAGTAGAAAATTGGAAAGAAAACAGGTTCCTACAGCTTGAATATTTTGTTAGAACTGCTACACGGCTGTTGACCTTGGGCAAACTACTTAACCTCATTGAGCCTTAGTTTTCTTATCTATAAAATGGAGATAGCACCTCCTACTTCATACAGTCATAGAAGCGAAAAAGGAGAAAGGAGATCTTATATGTAGGACATCTAATAGGGGCCTGCATAAAGAAGGCATTTAATGAGTGGCAGTTACCATCTTAAGTGCATCATCATCAATACTGTGCTCAAAGCTCAGAACACAATATACAACCTTCTGGTGTCATTAGATGCCTCAGAACGGTAAACTCCATGACTGGCTAATATAAAGAACCCACAGTTTGCCCCAGAGAGAGATGCTAATTGTCTCTCAGTGTTTCGTGGTGGTTTACTTTCCACCTGATGTACTCTCTGGACAAACTGCTCATTTGCTCTGTGAATACAAGCAAGACCACAGTTTATCCTATTTTTCTTGTAAAAACGGAGTGAATACCTGCTTTTCCCTTATAACTCTGAGTCCAAGGCTAAATGATAACTAGTAAATACTAGGTGCTGCAACCCATCAATTATTTCACGAATACTTTTTAAAAATGAAAGAGAACTGAATAAAAAATAATAAAATATCATAAGGCAGCATAATATTAAGGACAAGTGACTGTTTTCAGAAACTTTTATTTCAGTTACATACATGTATGCATGTGTTTACTGGGTAATGATGGAAAATATTTCTTACTGTGGGTTCCAGGAAAAAGTTTGAAAGCTTCCGCCCCAGGCCACTGATCTCTGGTCGCAAGTGCT